GAGGCTGACATGCCACTCAGGGTCTGCAGCCTGTGGGGCACAGAGCACAGAGCTGGGCTGGGGCAGGTGGGGGGCTACGGGGCTGCGACGGACTGGGTGGCTCAGCAGGTGACACACTCACCACTGGCTGACCGTCTGGCGGCCCTCGAAGTCAGGGGGCAGGTGGCTCATGCGGTGCATGGTCTCCATCAGCTCCCGCAGGTCGGGCTGGATCTGCAGAAACACTACCTGCTTGGAGACACCGACCCTGGTTCCCCTGCCCCCACCCCCAACCGCCCGGGAGCCGCACCTCGTCCATGGCCCGGATCTCCAGGCGCAGCTTGTCCATCACTGTGATGAAGAGCTGGTGGCAAGGGTGTGTGTGAGATGACATGGACCCCTGGCAAAGACCCCCGCCAGCCTGGTCCTCTGCAGGGCTGGGCCCGGGGCAGCACCAGCTGGCCCTCGCCCTCCTCAGCCTCACCGTGGGGTCACGTGGGCCCTAAGCCTGACCCTGCAGCTGAGGAGCGGTCAGTGGGTGGGAGCCCTGGGCACATCCCACGTGGGCCTTGGGATGGGAGGGGCCTCAGGGGGTTTCCCGGACGCTGCCCAGGAGGACTGCCCGCCCCCCACTCCAGCTACTCTGTGCACCGCGGGGCTGTGGGCACATGGCCCTCCCGCCTCCGCACCGAGACCACGTCGGCAATGCAGCGATTCAGGTTGCCCTTGTCGTCCTTGATGGTGATGGGCCGGTCCTCCTTGATCCTCTCCATGGCAAGCGGGCAGTCCAGCTGAGGGAGGGCACACGGTGCTGGGCCTCGCGGGGCAGCCCAGCCCCAGCCCAATGGCCCCCATGCCTACGCCCGCCCACGCCCCTCAGGGTGGAGGGGCCGCTCACTCACTCGGAACTTGCGGCAGAATTCATCGATGGAGCTGATCTCTGACCCCTGTACCTGCCGGAAGGCAGCTTTGTACTGGACCAGGAGCCGCGAGCAGGCCGCAGTGTACCTGGGGGGAAGGGTCAGGCTGCCGCCCTCAGCGCCAGGCCAGCGCCGCCTGGCACATCCTGCTTACCCTCCGCCCTTCCAGACAAGTGGCATCTCACACGGAGGGCTGGGTGAAGGGCCAGGGATTGGCCATAGAGAGCTGAGCCTTCCCACTTGGTTTACACAAAAAAATAACTCTGGAAGGTGGCAGAAGGTGGTAACGGCCAAAATACGGCTGCCACACGGACCTGGCCTGGGCTGTGCAGGTTGGCCCCCAGCCCAACACCAGGCAGAGGCCCAGCGAGACCCCTTGTGCCCGCTCTTCAGGCCATGTTGGCCGTGCCTCCACGTTGACAGCTTGTGGTCCTATGGGGGAGGGGCTGCTGCACCGAACAAAGGCCCCACGTTCCAGCTGGCTGCCAGGCCTGGTCGGCGGCACCCACGGACTGACTGCCTGTGCCACCCTGCTCGCCTCCTATGCCTTTGCACTGATGAGGCCCCAGGCAGCAAAGCTGGGGCAGAATACTGACGCCAGGGCGCTGGGCTCCCCTCTCCCCAGAATGCTGGGCTACTGCCGCCAGGGCGTCCCTGCCCGAGATGGCACCAAGGCCGCCAGCACCCAAGCGACCCTCCTTGTGCTGGGTGGGCCTCAGACCCCCGCCCCCGCTCCTTACTGAGCGCCCCAGCCCTGGAGAGCAGAAACAAGCTTCCAAGTACGGGTCGGTGGTGCAGGGAAGCGGGCTCTCACTCGTTGGGGCTGACGCAGTCCTTGATGTACGCCTTCTCCAGGGCCTGCATCGTCTTCACGACTGCAAACAGCTCTGCCATGTTGTCATACCTGAGGGTGCGCACCCTTCAGATGTGGCTGCCACGGCAGGGAAGCCAAGGTCCCGGAGCCTAGGGTGCCAGTCCTACCCAAGGTGCCGTTGAGGCAGACCTCCGTGTCTGGCTGCCCCTCTCACCCCACCCCTGGCAGAGGCTTCTTGGGACCCGTTTCCCTGGGCCGACCCCATGTTCTTCTGACCCTCAGTATGGGGGAGGCAGGCAGCCTGGGTGCTGGACTCACTTCTCCCGCTCACGGGCATTCTTATACAGCTTCACTTCCTGTTGGGAAGACAGGGCGGAAGGTCGGCCAGCAGCACCACAGTGGCTGCAGGGTCCCGGTGAGAACCACGCAGTTAAAAGACTACTGGCCAGCGCCGCCAGGCAGGTGCCCGCCACTTACCTCATACAGCTCCGGCTTGTTTCCAGGGGCTGCGACAAAACAGGCAGATAGCTGGCAGGCTGCTTGCGAAGGTCACCCTGGCAAGCTTGTCCAGCGCCCTGGCCCAGCCCTGTCTCAGTGCCCCTCCCAAGGCCTCCCCTGGGCTATGTCCCAAAGAGCCCAAAGGGAGCTGGGGGAATTTCAATCTCAGCATTCCCATCAGTTTGTGGGTGACCTGAGCAGAGAACATGCCTCTGAGTCCAGGGGGCTGTGCGCCAGGGCTGGTCATCCATCCCACCTGTTTCTAGGCTCCCTTGCTTACGATGCAGTGATGGGCACACATGTTTGTCACATGCTCTGTCATCTTTTCCCTGGCCTGGGGACTGTGGGATACCTAAGACCCCCTGAAGTTCCAGCCACACTAAAGCTGTCATTTCTGCGCCCAGCTGACCCCACCTGGAGGAGGTCTCTGGGCCCCTGGCCACTACCTGAGGTCTTGCGGGGGCGGACACTTATAGACCTCCCAAATGCTCCGGCCACCACTCCCATCAGCCTCTGCCACAGAGGTTGAAAGCCTAGGCCCTCTGGGTCCCTGGGCCCAGCTTGGGCCACACTCACCTCCCATGCCAGGAGTGGCTGGGATCCCGTGAAACATCCTGCAGGCTCAGGTGGCCACAGCAGAGACCTAGGGAGCAGAGCCAGTGCTGACGCAAAGGTGACCCCCTAACACCCCTGAGGGCTGGGCCTCATGAAAAGCTTCCCCACCCTCAGCAGAAACAAAACCAGCAATGAACACACAGGGTGCTGTGCACTGTGCTGGGAACACCGAGCCACCCTGGAGGCTGCCGGGAGGAAGCAGGTGCAGGTGAGCATCTCAGGAGTGAGCAATGGCGGGCTGGCAAAGGGGGTGGGGTGGGGAGTGGCGGCATGGTCAGGGCAGGTTGCTCTGAGTCAGGTGACCAGGAGAGGAAGGGGCTGCAGCTATCAGATGAATGACCTGGACGAACGTTTGGGCAGAGAAAACAGCACATACGACAGACAGCACGTATAATGTGAGGTCTTTATGCAGGAATGAATTTAGAGAAACAGACAAGCGGGGGGGGGGGGGGGAGGTGTGCTTTCTGAGTGAGGGGTGTTCTAGGGAATGAGGACAGAGAGGCAGGGGGATCAAAGGGCACAGATCTCACAGGCCAGGAGGAGGAGTCTGGGTTTATCCTGGCACAGCCAGAGGAAACTACTGGAAGACTGAAGAAAGTCCTCCCAGCTCCAGGTGGGCGGTGGGCTGAGCAGACCGTGGAAGCAGGAGCCCCTGACCACTCCGGAAGTTGGTGCGGTGGCTGGGGCCACGTCCTGATGTGCTTTGGAGATGGAACCACCAGACCCAGTGGAGAATTTGAAAAGGGGTAAAAATTAAAAAGGACTCAAGAATGACCCCTTATTTTTGGACCAGTGGCACCATGACAGTGAGGTGAACTGAGATGGAGAAAGTGAACAAAGTAGGTGTAGAAGGCAAGCGGGTGTGCAGGAAAGCGCTGCGGTTGATCTGTTGGCTTTGAGAGGCTCCGCAGACATCCAAGGAAGCTGCCGAGGCGGCTGGAGATCAGGGGAGAGGCCGGGGGCTGGCAGGGCTGAGCCAGTGGCACCGAGGGGGTGGATGGCGTCCCACAGGAGATGGCTAAGGGCGAACCACGGTAGGAGGGAGAGCAGCCCACGTTGAGCCCCGGGCACCGTGGCGTGCGGAGGCTGGGCAGAGGGAAGGCGGGATCCGGGCTGGGAAAGGCCAAGGTTGTACAAGTTAAGCAGCAGGGGCGGGGGGACGGGGCCGAGAAGGCCGATGAAATTACGAGAGCTCGCGGGGGTGGGGTGGGGACACGGATACCACTGAGCCACCCTCCCGCAGCATCAGAGAGGAGGTGCAACGGAGAGAAGGAATAAGGGGGTTGTCTGTGGCTCTACAACGGGATTCCACGCAGCCACGAAAACGGACGTCCGCGGCCACAAGCGAATACTCGGCTGAACCTCACCAACCTGCCGCGACCCAGAACGGCGAGCTTCTAGAGAAAGCCCAATGAGCGCGGTGGAAGATCGGGCGGGCCGGGCGCGGGGCGCATAGGCCGCGGGAACCTTCGGGCCCGGCGGTCTGAGCGCCGCACTCGGAGGCGCCAGTCCCGGGGAAACGGCTCTGGAACCCGGGGGGAGCCAGGAGAGCCGGACACCGGGAGAGGGGACCACAAGACGGAGAGCGAGGAGGAGCACGGGCGCGGAGTGCGCTCCGCGCCACAGCGACACCCCCGGGCGTCTACCAGCGCCGCCTTTCCCGCCCGCCCCCGGCCTGGAGTACCTGGGCGGCCTCGCGGATCCCGGAAATGGCGCGGTGGCGGAGTGCCCTCTGACGCCTGCGCTTGCGCGCGGGCGCTGATGTATGCGCCTGCGCACACTTTCTCAGGCCGGGACCTGATGTCTGCGCCTGCGCGCGGGGCCGGTCCACCTGGGCTTCTGGCTACTTCCCCCCAACCCCGCGCTGAGGCCGGGCCAGCCCGGGCCGGGCCGGGGTAACACTCTGCGGGTCTGATCCAGCCATGCCTGATAGGAACCGGAAGAGGTAACGAAGGGAGAAGGTTTTGCCTTCACCTGTAGGGCCTCTAAGTGGCCGGATCTGCCCTTGAAACTGTGCCCCACAGGGTTAATAGAAATTGGTAACAAATCCTTGAGCTTGTCTTTACAGCTTCTTAAAAACTCCTCCATAAACAACAAGGACCTACTGTACAGCACAGGGAACTATATTCGGTATCTTTTAATAACCTATAATGGAAAAGAATCTGAAAAACAATACATATATACAAAACTGAGCTAAACTGAATTGCCTTGCTGTACACCTGAAACACATTGCAAATTAAGTGTACTTCAATAAAAAAAAAAACCTTCCGCTTGTAACCTGCCTTCACTGGTCAAGCTCACCTTAATTGTTGATACAAAAAAGTGCACGTCCTGAAAAACAAGATGTTTGCTCTGAGCTGTTTTCCAGGAACTTGGAGTCACCTGTGTCCAGTCTGAGCTCAAGCCAGTTAAGACTGGTTAGGACCACCAACCCTAAAACTGGGCCTGCACAGGTGTCCAGGGAATGACCTTTTGACGTCGGAGGGCCCAAACCCCCACCCTCAGCTCATGTCCATTTTTTAACATGGTCCCATGAAGAAGCAGGTAATTCAGACACGCCTCTGCAGAACACAGATTACGTCGCCTTTTTCCTACCTCCAATCTCCTCTCCCCACGCTTAAGATCACCCTGCCTTCTTCTTTTCTTTTTGGCCACGCAGCTTGTAGGATCTTAGTTCACCGAACATGGAACCAGGCCCAGGCCGTCGGCAGTGAAAGTGTTGGAGTGCTCATCACTGGACTACCAGGGAATTCCCCCAACCTGCTTCTTCATCCCGTAAATATCCCACGCCCCTACTTTGGGGAAGCCAATCTGAGATCTGTCCTCCCATCCCCTCACTTGGCTGCCTATGAATAAACCCTTTCTCTGCTGGTTGTGGCTCACTGCTTATTGGGCAGGGAGGCCTCATTCCAGAGCGCTCTGACAGCAAGGTGAACCCCTCTGAAGGCCACAGCAAGGAGGGAGGCGGCAGCAGCGGCTTCCTTTATTAGAGGCTTGGGCGTGTGGGTAGGGCGGGGCACGGCTCAGCCAGTCAGAGGTGCCTGAAGAAGAGCTTGGGTCCCCGATCCAGGGTGCATGCTTTGGGGCCCAGCTGGCTGGGCAGCAGCTGGTGCAGGGCATCCCGGTCCTCAGCAGAGAGACGTCTGCTGCACAGCTGCAGCTCCTGCAGCTGCACTGTTAAGTTGTCCCAGAGGCGCAGGCCCAGGGGGCCCTGGACAGCACAGCCTGCAGAGGGGAAGCAGGAGTAGGCCTCAGGCTATGGCCGGGGTCCCGCGGGAACCAGTGGTGTTCGTAGAGGGGGCCCTGTGGGGCTTTCCTCTTTACCAGTGTGGCCCTCGGGAGGAAACACACATCCTCTGAGGCCCCAAGGGCTGCAGCGAGGGGCATGAGCAAAGGCCAGCAGAGGCCCAATAATTCTCTAGGAAGGAGTGTGCTCTCCCAGGCCTAGTGTGCCCAGGACTGTGGACTCCCCAGCCAGTGGTCAGGCACAAGGGAGGTTGGCTAAAGTAAACACCACATTCACATCTGTGCCTCTGCCATTGTCTGACGATGCCTGGGTCTCTCACTCCATAAAATGGACCCAATGGGCTACCTGTAAGTCTCAAGACACTGAGCTACAAGGCTCAATCCTCAGAGAGACCGGAGAATACCCAGCAGGCTCACGACCCAGGGAGTTTGGTGAGAGGGTGCAGGTGCCAAGAAGCCAGGTGTGTGGGAAGCAGCCCCTCAGCTGAGCGCAGGTCTCCTACCAGCCCACCTTCAGGGGGGCCTTCCTGGAGGAGCCAGCCTGGCCCTGTGGGCCCGTGGGCAAGGAGCAAGAAGAACCCAGGGGTCCCCTGTGTGTAGACCCACTCCCAGCCCTTGTTCTCCTAGAGGGCAAAGCCTGGTCTGCCCTGCCCTGGGCCCCAGCAGGATGTGCCAGGCCGCTGGGTGGCCAGTTCACCAAACGCACCTCCCTGGGGTCCTTCTCAAGACAGCTCTGGTAGGGTCCTGCACCAGGGCGTGGCCAGAGAAACCAGCTAAGTCAGGCCATAGGCCTGGACGGTAGGGTCAGGGCAGCCTTGGCCAGGAAGCGGGAGGGTCCCTCAGAGGCAGGTATTGCCACCCTAGCCCGACGTCCCTCCCTCGGTGACAACAGGAACGAGGAAGTCCCTGTGGCACTGGGTCCCCCTGCCATGGTCTCGAGGGTCAGGCTGACCAGGCCAGAGGCAGAGACCCACGGTCCTCCCGCCCTACGGTTTGAGAAGCAAGGCTCACACCTGCTTCCAGTCACACTGGTCACCATCCTCCACTGTGGCGACCCCAAGGGGCCCAGCCCACCCTTGCGGTCTGGCTGGTGGCAGTGACGGCCCCTTCAGAGGAGGCACCTGGGCCTAAGGCAGGTCCTCGAGGAGGGAGCTGTGTCACCAGCTCCGGTGTGGCAGGTGTAGAAACCATACCCAGAGCTCACCTGACAGGCCGAGGAAGCTGAGGCCTTGGGGCCGCCCTTGGAGGGCAGACAAGAGCTCCTCCAGACCGGCACAGCTGATCTTGGGGTTGGCAGACAGGTCCAGCGAGACCAGCGAGGGGCAGAGAGGCAGACATCTGAGACAGGGAAGAAGCCTGGGGATCAGCTTCCATCACGAGGGGAAGCTGCCCCAGGTGATCCCAAGGCTCGGGGAGCTGCAGGCCAGGACCATACGCTTTGCCCCCAGCCTGGCACGGGTGTCTCACACTCCTGCGAGCCAGCTGAGGCTGGAGGGCCACAGAAGCCGTGGCCTGTGCCTGGGCTGCTGGACAAAGGGTGACAGGAGGGGACACACCAGAGAGAAAGTCTCGAGAGCCGTGGGAGCATGAAGAGAGACATGAGGGCCAGCCAGGAGGCAGGCTAGTGGCTGGCGGCCAGGCCTCGGGGCACGCTGGGGCAAGGAGCCCCAGCTTCCCCGGGCTCCTGGGCCCTGAGATCAGAACCCCTGCAGGATGGTGGTGGCACGAGCTGGCTGGCATTACCTGCTCAGATCTCTCACGGCCTCGTCGCCCAGGTGGTTTGCCGACAGGCCCAGGTGCTCCAGGGCGCAGCCTTCCTAGACAGCGGAGGCCCAAGGGGAGCCGGCCTGAGTGGGGCACCTGCCCTCCCTGCCTCCCTGGATCCCAGCTGTCCTTCCTGCTGGCCAGGAATTCACAGCCTGAGGCAGGCAGGTCTACAGAAAGCTTTCCCCGCCTCTGTTTTTTCCAAACGTGCAAAGCCTCTTCCCAGCACCACCCGCCAATCCTGGGTGGCCAAAGGTGCCTCTGGCTTAGTGCCCCTCCTTGACCGCGTACCTTGGTCAGGTAGCTGACCACGGGCTCCGTGAGGCCTGGGTCACTCTTGCTGGCGGCCACAGAGCTCAGCTCCAGGCGCAGGAGGGTGCGGGCTGGCAGGCTCTGCAGGGCCTGGGCCAGGGCGGAGGCACCCAGGCCGTTGTAGGACAGGGACAGTGTCTTCAGGCACTTGGCGCCTATACCAAGGGCCAGAATCTCAGTCAGCCCCGCGTGCCGCCGCCCCCAGCCCTGCCGCACAGTCCTGGGCCCAGAACCCTCATGACCCTCGGGAAGCCGTCCTCGTCCCTGAGGTTTGGTGTGCAGGGAAACTGGGGTGGCTCTGGCCCAGTGTCTCCCAGTGGGGAGGGAGCAGAACTGGACTCCTGAGCCCAGCTTCTTCCCACCATTTCTGGGTCCTCTACCTGCCCCTACTCACAACAGGATGGCCCCAGGTGACCTGAGACAGGCCCTAGGCTGGGACATCCACACGTGGTGGGTGGGTCGGGGAGTACTCCGTCTGCCACCCCAGTCCCAGACCCCTCCTCCCCTGCCGCTATGCTCATAGCTCTGTGGAAAGCCCCCTAGAGGACCCCAGTTTCCAGCTTCTCAGGGCTGGGGTGGCAGGTCTCTGCAGCCCCAGTGGGTTGTGGTGGAATCGTCTCCGGCAAACGGGATGCTCAGACCTGGTGAGAGCTGTGGGGCTGGGGCTCTGGCCTGCAGCGTAGCTGGGACTGGGGCTGTGTCCTGAGGGGGCCGCCCAGGCCAGGCGAGCACCCAACGTCCCTCTGAGCCCAGACAGGTCCAGCACCTGCACGTCTACCTACGTGCTCCCGAAAGCTGGGCTCGTGCCCTTGGAGCCCTTGTGCTGGAGGCTCTCTGAGCCCTTGGGGCCAGGGAGTGGACGTGCCTGGCAGCTCACCTTGGAAGGCGCTGCCCAGGGCCGCCTGGTGGTTCAGGAAGAAGCTGCGGCCAAAGCCACAGGCCTGGAGGTACAGGGTGCTGAGCAAGGGGCAGGCCCGTAGGATGGAGGCCAGGGCCTGGCCACAGCCATCCCCGAGGGGGTTCATGCTTAAGTCCAGCTCTTCCAAGTTCTGTGGAGACATGGGTTCCCCAGAGGATCTGGTCTGGGCCACCCAGAGCTGGGTACTGGCCAACACTCTCAACCACACCTTCCCACCCAGGGATGGGCCAGATGTGGACGTTCAGATGCTGCCCTGGTACCGGTCCGCCGTTCCCCACGCCTCTACCTGCAAGGCGGGCTGCCCCTGGAGACCCACAGCAAGCTGGCGCAGCCCTTCAGGGCCCAGGTGATTGGAGGAGAGGTCGAGGAGGGTCAGGCCGGGCACGGTGTCCAAGGCAGCCAGCAGCTCGGCAACACATCCATCCCCCAGCCGGTTCCCGGCTAGGCGGAGCTCCCGGAGTGCTGAGTGCAGCTTCAGGGCCCGCAGCAGCGGGGTGAGCTGGGCCTGGCGCAGCGCCAGGGAGCAGGCACTGAACGCGGGGCCTGAGCCCTGCTGCTCCATCGCCTGCAGCACGTGCTGGTGCGCCCCTGGAGGGGGAACGTGGCGTCACCAGGGCCAGAGCCTGCCTGTCCTGCCCTGTGCATCACGAGAGGCAAACCAGGCAGCCCCTCCTCACTCACGAGCCCTGGGGCTGCCACCAGAGGCCTGTGGACCCCATGGCCCAGGAGCCACGCTGCACAGCCGGTGGGTGGCGCTCATCTACCTCCAGACGGGGCCAATCTCCCCCACCCCACCCCACTACCTACACACAGGGCCGCTAGGTAGGGGAGGAAAAGCCAAGAACAGGTGTGCTGGGAAGGAACCCTGGTGGACACCTGGGGTCCTGGGAGTCGAGGCCCACGGACCTGGGAGTGGCACGGGCAGGAGGAGCCCACACACCCAGCCCTCTGCCCAGGCCACCGCCGCAGGGCCCCCTGGGCCCTTACCTTGCTCCAGGCTCTGGCAGGCCCGGCGGTAGCGGTCCGTCAGCGGGGGAAGGTCCCACGAAGTCACCTCAGCCAACACCTGGAAAGCACCAGCGGTGTGCAGCCCCCGGCACCCAGTATTGGCGAACACCCCGAACTCAGGGCCTGGCCTGCCACTCACCTCCTCATTGCTCTGCAGCACATCGGAGATGGGGTCCTGTGGGGCCAGCAGGGCCCCCTCTTTTTGTAGGGAGAGCCGAGGCAGCAGCCCAGAGGCCTGGTAGTAACGCTGGGCGGCCTGCTCAGCCAGCCAGGCCACGGAGTGGGTCTCCCTGCTGTGGGGACAGAGGTCGAGCTGAGTCCTGGACCTGGCCAGGTTCCCGCACACGTTGAGGAGCGGCCCCCGGGGTCCTGCCATCCCAGCTTGGCGTCCACAGCTCCCTCGTCTGGCTCCTTCGTCTCCCCCTGCCCCTACGTGTGACATGCCAGTGCCCCGTGCACACATGCAGCACCTCCGGGCCGTTTCTAGGGACGCAGGGCCTCCCCGAGCCTGTGTCTGCCATCACCTCCCCCAGCTGCCAGCCCCCCAGAGGTGGGGTATAAAACCAGATGGATTCGCATTGCACATTCCACGCCATCTACAGCCATGAGGGCCCTCTGCTGCCCCTGGGCACCATCCCCTGGCCCAGAACCCGCAGTGGCGCAGAGGGGGCCAGGGGTTGGGAGAAGACAGGTGACACCTTACCTGTGTGGGACGGGGATGAGGAAAAGATTATTCTGAACACGAACTCGAACTCGGATGGGAGGGAGCAGGGCCTGACCCTAGTAGGTGCGGGGCAGGGAAGGACAGCCTGAGTCAGGGAAGACGGAGCCCCCTGCCCACCACCCCCAACCGCCCCAGCCGGGGAGGCAGCTCTGCTCCAGGCCTGCACACCCACCAAGGGCTGGCCTGCTGAAGGGTTTCCCCCAATGGGCCCCAAGGCCCTGGGGACATCAGGGCTCCGCGGGGGCTCTGCGGCTGAGCTGCAGGCTCCATCTGCTCTGACCCGTGCACTCCAACTCTTGAGACAGGACAGCCGGCTCTTCCTGGCCCGGGCCCGAGGCCTGATGGCGCTTGCCTCACTGCCTGACCCCGAGGCACTGTGTCTGCTGCCATCCGCACTGCTATGGGGGCGGGGCGGGTGGCTGCCCCCATGACCGTGGGCCAGCGGCAAGTCCTCTTCCAGCCAGTCCCCGGCCAAGCACTCCTCCTCAGGGAGGAGCGCCGCCCGGGGGCTGGGGGCCTCGCCGGGGCCTTGAGGGGGGCTAGGGCGCAGGTGGCAGCTCTGGGCACTGCCCACACTGCGGATGGCCGCCCGGTAGGCTGCCCAGCCGGCACTCGCTGTGGCTGCCTCCCCGTCACTGGCGGGGCTGGGCATCCGGGGCCTCTTCTGGGGTGGCCGGGGCGGGCCTGGGTTGTCCTCCCCATCTGAGCTGCTACCGCTGGCCAGCTTGTGCCTGCTCCTCCAAAGCCTGGCCGTGGCTGGCACCGCCAGCCCCTGGGAGACCCTGGCACTGGCCTGACAGGCTTCTGGGGGTCCTGGGCTGGGACTTGAGGGAGGAGAGGTCTCAGGGTCAAAAAGATGGTTACTTGGGACAGTCAGGGGAGCCAGGGAGCTGTGGGGAGCTGCAGAGAGATTGAATCTATTGTGAGGCAGTGTCTGGCACCATCCCCGCCACCCAGGGCCCGGGGACCATCAGGCTACAGAGCGAGGTCCTTAGGAGCAAAGGAGGTCCCCGCTTGCCTTGGCCCGAAGAGGCCGCCTGGAGCAGCGTCTCCATGGCAGCAGCCTTCTCTCGCGTCTCGCCATCCAGATCCTTGCAGTACAGCTTCACCCACTGCTGCAGCGTCTCCAGCGGGCTGCGGCCCTGTGGGGTACCCAGCTAAGCAGGACTGGCAGTGGCAGTACCGCCAACCGCGTGCGGCCCACGCCTGCCTGGCCTGCGTCTGTGCTCACCTTCCTGGTACGGAGAGTGACCGATGCTCCTCGCTCGATGAGCAGCTGGGCCACCTCAAAGTGGCCACAGTTGAGAGCATCATGCAGGGGAGTGATACCCTCACAGCCTTGGCCACCCGGGTCATCCACCGCGGCCCCGTGGTCCAGCAGGAAACGGACGATGTCTGTGGACGGGGGGTATGAGCCAGCTCCCAGGCCCTTCCTTGGGAGGGACCCTTTCCCTCTCCCTGTCGTATGCTAGCACCCTGCAGCCCCACACTCACCCAGATGCCCATAGTTGCAGGCCTCGTGCAAGGGTGTCCAACCACAGTAGTCCCGAGGGTTCAGGGGGTGGCCCTGTGACAAAGAATGGGAAGGAGCCTGGCCCTAAGTAGCTCCCAGCCTGGCCTTGCCCTGGGGCTCTGGAGCCTGAGGAGGGCCCCCGGGGCCCACCCCCGAGCCTGGCCCTGGCCCAGGTCACACCAGAGTGAGGGAGACACTCGCCACAACAAGTACAGAGTCCCCAGTGCCGGCTCCCGCCCCTGTACCCTGCCCTGGCCCCTGGGGAGACAGTACCCCAGCGAGAGCCCCTGCTATGGCCGCAGGGTGACTGGGGTGGGGCAGTGGGCCCACCTGCCTCACGAGGTCCTGGACACGGCCCAGCTGGCCCTCAATGCAGGCTCGGTGCAGCAGGGTCTCCCCGACATCGTTGCGCCGGTTCCACTGTGGGCACAGTCACCCCATGGGGACGTAGGCGTGAGGGGATGGGGCGGCACTGGTGGGCAAGGGAGGGTGACACACGCGCTCAGCCGCTGTGCTCACCTTGCTCACCCTCCGCCGGCCCAGGCAGCCCTGAAGCTCCTCCTCCTCCAACCGCTGGGACCCGTCAACTTCATCCTCTGGAACAGAGCCAGGCCCACCAGCCCAGGTGAGCCTAGCCCCTGCCCCGGCTCCGCTGCGCCCAGGAGACTGCTCTGTGGGGCAGCCTCCCCCACCCCAGACCTCTGCCGTCTCCTTCCTGGGAAGCATCTTTGTTGGGCCACGTCAGGCCCAGGGTGAAGACAGCTCGCCCCTGGGGCCCAGGCGTCCTCCACCTGCACGACTCCCAGTACCTCTGCCTTCTCCTGCCTGCTCTCAGCCCGGCCCCCCCCCCCCACCCCTGCTGCCTCCTGCGCCTCCTTCCCAGCACCTCCTTCTCCTCCAGGGGTAACTGCCTATGCCTATCAGAGAGTTGGAGAGTCGCCTGAAGTTCTCCTTTTTGGGTCCTCTCTCCCCGCCCCTCCTGCGGACCCTCCCCCACACCTGCAAAGGAGCCATGCCCAGCTCAGCACCCCCCTAAGGCAAGGCTGAAACTTCCCGGAGGGAAGGTTCTGGAAGCTCCTCGAGTTCAAAACTGAAGCCACTCCTTCTGGCCTCAGGGACCGTGCAGCCAGGAGCCAGCTGACTCCTGAAGCCCACCCACTGGCCCGCTGCCTGAGCCGGCTTCCGCCACAGCCCACCCTCACAGCCGCCCCTCGGAGCTGAGCACACTGGCCTCAGGGTAACCGCGCGGACCCTCGAGGGTCTCGGGACCGCCTGCGGTGCGTTTGCCCGCCAGCCTCCTGGCACCGGCCCCTCCAAGAACGTCCCCCGGCTGTGCCCGGCTCCCTGCACCCCCCCCCACCTCCACCCTCCTCCACCTGCCTCACCTGCGCCAGTTACCCACCCGGCGCTGGGCTGTTCCCTCCCATCCTGAGCCTGTGAGCAGGACCCACCGGCCCGGCCCTGGCGTCAGGGAGGGAACACCGGGGCTGCCAGCACGGCGTCCGAGCCTCACCGCTCTCTGAGAGCTCCACCTCGATGGCCTCCAGGGTGGCGGCCTCCCCCTCGTCCCCCTCGTCCTCCTCGTCGTCCTCACCCCCCTCGTTCTCCTCGTCTTCAGCTGCTCTCAGCTCCTGCAGCCTGGCTTCAGTGCCAGGGGCCTCCTGAGGCTGCAGCCTCAGCTGCACTGCATGGAGGTGCCGTAAGACCTGCCTCTGAGGAGCGGGGGACACCAGCTCAGGGCCAGAGCAGAGGCGGGGACAGGTGGACAGGCGGGCCGCGGGGAAGCTGTACGTGGGGATCCCAGCACGGGCGGGCGGGCGGGCTCCCACACCTGCAGCCGTGGCTGCTGGGCTTGCTGCGCACAGCTGAGAGCCTTCTGGAAGCATGGCGCCAGCACCTCGTAGGCATCCCCGGCGTCCTCGCGGGACAGCGCGATGTTCAACCAGGTCTTGGCCTCCTGGAGGAGGAGGTATGAACTCGGTGGCGGCCGCCCCCGCACCCAGCTGGCCCTGGCTCCCCATGGCTGCCCACACGAGACAGGAGGACGACAGTCCTCCCGTGCCCACCCCCAAGGGCAGCAGTCCTGGGACAGAGCCCCGGGCAGGGCAGGGCGCCGTGACCCCTCACCTCCAGGGCGCTGCCGTCCCGCAGCCTCAGCTCCTCTTCATAGTGGCGCACGGCCTGGCGGTGGTCCTTCATGTCCCCCAGGGTGGCAGCCAGGGACACGTGGATAACGGCCAGCTCAGGCCCCGGCCTGTTTAGCAGCTCCGCGAACTGCAGCTGGGAAGGCGGCAACAGCGAGGCCAGGGCTGCGCCACACCCCACAGCCCACAGCCCCGGTGCCCTCACCCCCGCCCCAGCCCGGGCACGCACCTGCTTCTGGTAGGCCGCGGCAGCCTTAGGGAAGTCGCCCGCCTTGGAGAACAGGTCACCCAGCTGCTCGCAGATGCCCATGGCGCCCCGCGGGTCACTCTCCTCAGACTCCTCCAGCTGCTGCTGCAGGCGGACTACCGCGAGCACTGCCAGAAAGAGCCTGGTGTGGGTGCGGCACAGCCTGGGGCCTGGCCCTGTGCCCTTAGGCAGCCAGCCACCTGCCCGAGCCTCCGCTCACCCACTGGTAAGGGGGGTGGTAGGAGGAACTACTTGGTGGGGTCGCAGCAAGAATAGAAGAACCAACTAACGACAAGTCAGGGCAGGGGCTGGTCCGCAGCATGGGGTGAGGGCCTGCTGACCGCCACTTACCAGTCCTGCTAGGCCACACGCACCGTCCACGCTCCCACCCCGTTAGGCGGGGCGGCTTTTCTCTCGAGTTTGCCAACGAAGCTGGCTTGTGCATAGACACTAGTCTCCTGACCATCCTGGGTGCCCCTCTGACACTCTGTGCTGAATGTAGCTCAGAGAAAAATGAGGCCCCTCCCAACAAGAAGTGGGGGGAGACGGGTGCCCTACTGGCGCTGCCACCTCCCAAAGGACACACGCCCAGGCCTCCTCTGCTGAAGGACGGGAACCCTCCCTACCCCTTCTCAGGGGGTTCAGCACCCCCCCATCCCCTCCTAGGCTCACCATACTTGAGAGTCCGGCAGACCACTGCCTTCTGCAAAGGCTTCTGGGAACCAAGCCGATAGGCCTTCTTCAAGGCTCTCTTGGCGGCCAAAAAATCCCCTAGGTCTTGGAGGACCTGGGGGGCAAGGGAAGGTGAGGCCCGCAGGCTCCTGAAGGCCCAAGCCCACCCGGGAGCAGAGCCCGGAGCCACCAAGAACTAGCACCTCCGAGAGGAGCAGGCAGCACTCGCTCTCCATGGAGCCCTGCTTCAGGGTGCGTGCGCACTTCCGCGCCCCCTCCAGGCAGCGCATGGCCTGAGAGTGCTGCCCCCGCCGCCAGTGGATGGCACCGAGGTTGTAGCGGGCACGAAACAGGTCCTCGTACAGGTGGTTCTGCCTGGGGGTGGGGACAGGAGCTCAGTGCCCGGGGCACTGTCGCTTAGGGACAGCACAGCAAGCACCCACCGATGCCACTTAGGGTTCCGGCCCCCACAAAGCCAAGGCTGCCCCTCTGCTAACAGGAAACTGACTGGGCGGAGGGGTGAGGTCAGCCCGGCTGCCCTCTCGGGAGGACCCTGGGAGCAGCCCAGGCCCCAGCCACTCCCTCCTGGGGCCGAGCGGGGTGCGGGGGGGCCTTACTCGGCAAGGAAGATGCTCTTCGTGAAGTAGGCGTGGCATAGCGTCGCCTGCTGCAGGCTGTCACAGGTGAGGCCCACGTTGAGGTAAAGTCGGGTCCTCATCTCACTCAGCTCTCTCTTGGCCAGTGAGCCTGGAAGACGCCCCTCCAGACACTCAGTGCCTTACCCCCACTTGGGGTCTCCAGCCCTGGGCCCTGGCCAGCCTCTCCTGGACCCCTCCTCCAGCCTCTCACTGTAGGTGCCAGGGGTTCTGCTGCAGGTAGAGCAGAGTGAAAAAGAGCAAAGGCAGCCGGACCCGAGATCGTGAGGAGCACAGGCTCTGCGGGGCAGGGGTCGGGGGTGGGGGAGAGCTGCTGCTTCTGAGAACCAATCTCAATCTCACAAAGGGAGGGTCCAGGCAGGTGGACCCACCACACGGGCAGGGCGGGCAATGGGACTGTAGCCTCTTCTCCCTGCAGAGCTCAGGAGGCAGAAGGTGGGGAGGGCCAGTCTCCAAGGGCAATTACCCTGCAGCTTCTCATCTACGATAGCCAGGCTTTTCTCGAAGGCACCCCGTGCCTGCAGCAAGGCATCCTGTGACTGGTGGTGGTCAAAGATGTCCAAGTGGGTACGGCCAATGGTAGCCCAGGCCCTCTGCTGCTCAACATGGTTGGACAGGGAACATGCAAGCTCCAGGTAGCGGTGCTGGTGCTGGAGCACAGAAGAATGGTCACTGTGAGCCAACCCCACGTCAAGCAAACCCCATGTGTCTCTCAAGCCCCCACAGAGCAGGCCAAAGCCAGACTGCAACACCCCGTTTTCTCTATGCTAAGGACTGACGGTGGGGACGGTGGCACCACACTCAGACCAGCCAAAGTCATTGGGGGAGAGACACTGACCGGAAGTTAGCTAGGCTGTGGCAGCCCCAGAAGCCGGGGCCAGGGCAGCTCTGTGTGGACAGAGGGCCTGTGGCACACCCACCCAAGGACCAGGCTACCAGGGCCCAGCGCAGCGTGTCCCCCTCTCCCCTCCAGCCAGAGGCCTGGACAGCAGAGACTGGGCCTCCCTTCTCGGAAACGGACCCCCAGGAGATGAGAGCCCAGGAGAGCTGGGTGTGGCCAGCGTGGGGGTCCACGTCGCGGCCTCCGCCCACCTGCAGGGCAGCCGAGTAGTCCTCCATCTCCGCCAGCCGCTCTCCGATCTTGCGGTGGGCCACGGCGCAGCCCAGGGGGTCGTCGGCCGACTCCAGGAGCTGCAGCTCCTGCTGGTGCTCTCGCAGGGCCTCCGCGTAACACCCTGGGCAGGCGGGACAGGCTTCAGTCTGGCCGGGCAGAGGGTCAGGGGCCGCGAGGGCCAGTGGGGCAGCGGCCGGCCGGCACTAAGGAAGGCCCCCCACGCCCCCCGACCCCACACCCCGTCCTCCCGGCTCCTCGCTCCCAGGCCCGGACTCCACCCCACGCACCATGGCTAGCCAGGAGCTCCCCCAGCTGGTGGCAGACGGCTGCCTCCTCCCGCAGCTGCCCGCTCCTCTGGGCCTTAGCCTTGGCCTTGCTCAACTCTGCAGAAAGAAGAACGAGGCCTGGGTGCTAAGCTTCTCCGCCCGGGAGGGCCAGGCCCGCCCCCGGCCCCCGCGTTCGGGCACTAGTCCCTGGACTCACGGCGAAGCTCGCGGTCCAAGCTCATACTCCGGCCGCCGTGCCGAGGGTTCCGGACTTCCCGCGCTCTAGCGCCGCCTCAGCAGCCCCACCCCCAGGCCCAGCGCGCAGGCCCACTCCTGACGCGGAGTGTCCCGGGAAGTGTAGTTCAACCGCCCGACGCATCCTGGTAGTTGTAGTAGGGCTGGCGCCGGGGCCGGAAGAGCGGCGGGCGTCTCCATGGACTCCTGGGTCTTCCTCTAGAGCTGAGCGCCCCCCCGCCCCGCCCCGCATCCCATATCCCGCATCCGCCCTTGGGGTGGGGTCTCCTGGGCTCCCGCCGCGTGCTGCAGCATCCCGCACACAAGCAAACCTATCCACCCACGCTACTTGACCTGAGGAACGGCCTGCCCTCGCGTGGGAGGAGAGGAAGGCCTCGGAGACCACGGGCACTTGAGCACTCAGATTTGTGGGCATGATCAGAGGAGGCGCCCCGCAGAGACTGCGGATCAGCCTTGAAAGCTCCACAGTCGTCACACGTGGGGACTCCGACCCCCAGTGCTACCGGCGGGAGGGGGGGCTGTGTGTTTCAAAAAGAATCGAGCGCGGTCCTGCTTCCTCAGTGTGTACGCCAGTTTTGTATTCCTGGAAAACTCAGCGTGCGCTCGTTAAAACTGCAAAACCGTCTTGTGCTGAGAGGTAAAGGGAGCAGAATCCGGGCTCGGAGCGCTGTGACCAACCTCTCAACTGCATTAGATCGGGGGTGTGGGGAGCCTGGGGACCTCTAAATACCCGTCCTTTCCCCCCACCCCTGCCTCGAGAACCTGCCGGGCCTCGGGGCTCGCAGTCCCCACCCTGCCGCGCGGCCCTGGGCCCTAGGTGCCAGGGCTCGCGCCCCAAAGTCCCCAGAGGAGGCCCGGAAGGAGTGGGATATGGGCACTTTTATTTCCTGTGGAAATGGAAACAGACCCAGTGGGGTACCCGGGAGGGAGCCATGTGGAAGGTGGCTGGTCCCCAGGTCCAGGGGAGGCTGCAGGCGTGAGGGTGAGCTTGAAGAGCAGCAGGACGGCCTCCTCTTTGAAGGGTGTGGTGCTCCCTCCTCCTCCGTCCACCGTGGGGTCCCAGGAGACAGGACCGGAGGCCTTGAAACCAAGGTGCTGCTTGGCAGGCAGGCTGGTGAGGTGCAAGGGGCACAGTGAGAGGCAGGGTGGGCATGGGGGAGCCGAGCCTTGGAAACAGAGACTGTCTCAGCAGAACGGGTGAGACGGCACCTCCCCTGAGAGCCTTTCCCACTCCAGCACCAACATTCCCAGGACAGCCCAGGTCCTGGGGCCTGATCTCCCTTCAGAGAGGACCCAACTTCTCTAGCCTTGGCCTCCCCACTGATCAGACAGGAATGCACATATGAGGATGCCAGCAAGAGCTGAAGGCCTGGGGTGGGGAGGCCGCAGGCTTGGGGCCAGCAGCTGACCCCTGGCTGGGAGGCTATCAGAGCCCAGGGAAGCCCATCCATGAGGCTGTCTTCTTGTAAGGAAATACAAACAAAACTTGGTTTGGACCTTTTTAAACACTGTAGTTACATACAGAAATATTCAAAGAGAACACAGACCACAAAAGCAACATAATATGTTAAGTCGTTTCCGACAGCGGTAAAAACACTTCTTCACTCCTCTCTTTAAAAAATTATTTTTATTATTTTTGTAAATGTCTCACTTTGGGTATACTGAGAGATGTAGTGCTTAAAGGGAAGTGTGGGGGTGAGAGAAGGGAAGGGGGGCTGGCTCGACCTGTGCCCTCAGGCCTCCCCCAACCCTCACCAGCTCAGGATGCCAAGGTGGACCGGGATCCTGGAGACAGACTGCTGGTGTCTTCTCCTTTCTTAAGACAGGACTGGGACATCCTCCGGTAAACCAGTGACTCCCAGTGAGATGACACAAGGAGGTTTATGGCGCCAGCCTCCAGCGATGGCCAAGAGCGCACTGCAAAGTCCCAGAAGTGCCTGGCTCCACCTGGCTGTAAGGCTCAGCTGCTGAGACGACTGTCACAGGGCGGGGCCGTGTTGGTGGATTAGCAGTCTTCTTGGGCCCCCCCAGACCCACCCACACCCCTACAGGGAGGGCCTTGATTGGGTGCCAACCCACTCCCACGCACTCACTTGGGCATTTGGAACTCGAGGGCCATGTGCCCCCAGCTGTGTGTTCCAGCAGCTGGAACTCTGATCCTGGTGCCGCAGAGCCCAGCCCCTCCGGTACCCACCCACCCCCCCAACAGGTCTGCTAGCCCAGCCCTGGCTTTGCCCTTCTCCTGCCTGGCCCTCTGTGGCAGCCACACACCTTCACCTGCCCCACCCAGGAGAGCTGCCGGGGGCCCGCCCCTCTGCTGCCTCAATCTCACACAGGCACCCAGACACACACAGACCAGGCAAACCCACCCCTGTCCTGGCCCCACTCACAATATGGTCACTTTGGAATCGACAGAGAGGGTGTCCATCCCCAAGAGACCCAACAGGGTGACAGGGCGCCATCCATGCACAGGAGACCTGGCCCGTGTTGACGTGAATGTCATCCTCTGCGCCCACAGGCAGGCAGGGGCAGCCCCTGAGGGCAGTGGAACAACACCAGGGTGTGCCTGGGTCAGATGCCCACAAGGATGGGCTGGGGCTGGGGTGGGGTCTTTCTTTGTGGAGGGCAAGCCAGGCTGAGTCGGCCTTGTAGGATGGGACCCCCGCCAGCCCCATGCGCTGGGTGGGGAAGAGGGGACCTGCCAGCCTGGGAGGGCTGCTTCGTCCACTAGGAACTGGCTGAGGCTCGAGCTGTACCCCATAGCTCCTTCACTCCCCTTCTCAGCTCCCCACCTCGAGGGCCAGGAGAGAAAGGAGCCCCCAGAGATAGGCCAGGGCGGCCCTGCCCACTGAGCCTGCAGGGCCTGGGCAATAGGGGGCCAGGCCGGCAGGGGCTGCTCTGAGCACGGGGTGGGCCTGGCTGGGGGCGAAGCAAACAGTTCTTTGGTATTGAAGCAACGAGAAACTATTGCAGAAGAGCCTTGTCTCCTAAGCAGGGCCCCGAGCTCTCCCTTTCCCAGTAGGCCCCAGGGTCCCGGGATCCCCAGGCAGGGCTCCTTCCCGCTGTGAGGCCTGCACTTGGGCCTGCTCACCGCAGCTCTGGGGCAGGACTGCAGGACCTCGGGGGGCCCACCTCCCTCGGGTGAGAAACCGCACTGCCCAGCGCTGACTTCCATGCAGAGCCCTGGATGCAGGGCCAGCAGCTGGTCCCTGAGAGCAGCATGGGGGCAGCTGGACCACTCAGACCCTCACACAGCCAGGATTGCTCACCGCCGGCAGACCCCAGAACTCTCCTCACAGCCTGGGGACACTGAGTCCTTAAGGCTGAATACAGAAGATAGATTCTCTCTTGCTAAATTTGCATAACTTGTACAAGAGCCTGTAAAGGGTTTAATTTTTTCCCTGGGAAGAGACAGAAAATCACCCTGCATTCCGAAAAGTCTGCTGAGCCCTGGTGGCCAAGTCCTGCCTCCCTGGAGCAGCCGGGGGTGGGATGTGCTGGGCTAGTGAGAGCCCCGACCCCGCCCGTTCCCCTGCCCAGGCCTGTGACAGAGGGGGCAGCAACTCCAAGTCTCTCCTGGGGCGGGGCACATGAAGGTGCAGTCACAGGGATGGGCGGGCTCTGACCCTCGGCCAAACGGAAGACCCCATTCTGTCCAATTACAGCCACGCCTTCCCCTCGAACAAAACAGAAAGTAGGAAACAAGGGTGCCTTTTTAATTGCAATCAAATATGCCGTCTGAGGTCAGCGCCCCCGAGCCCGGCCCAGGGGCCGTGCGCAGCCCCATGTGCGGCCCAGAGCAGGCATGTGGCCCGCTGCGCGGTAGGGGCCGGGGCCAGGCTGCCGTGCTGCGCCGCGCCCCTTGGGTCCCGGAGCAGCGTCTCCTCTGCGGTGGCCCGGCCTCCAGCGCCCGGGACAGGGGAGGTGGGGCAGAGGGCGAGGGGGGCGCTCCCACCTTCGCACACGCATGCAGACGTCCCAGTGTTCGCTTCTGTTCCTTCTCCTTGGCTGAGATGGGCGATGGCGCCGTGAGGCCGCTGCTGGGCAGGCGTGGGCAGTGCCACGGGGCTGCCTACTTCTGTATTTGGAACAGGAAGAGCCGCAGGTTGATGTTCTTGGCAGCCAGCAGCTTGTTGCACTCCACGGAGTCGACGATGGGCAGCGGCACGTAGTCCGTCTCGTTGCTCTCGTTGGTGAAGACAAAGTGGTAGATGACAGGGCTGATCTTCACGTCGTCGTACGGGCCCTTGAGCAGCAGGAAAGAGCACTCCAGGGGCGCCGTCACCTTGCTCTTGAGGAGGAGCTGGAAGGACAGCGTGCGCTTGCACGACAGGTTGGGGTTGCGCTCCGAGTCGTTCACGCGCGCCTTTAGGACCCACGTCTGGTTTAGCACCGTGAACCGCGGCGTCTCGTAGTACAGGCGCGTAATGAAGTCGTCCGTGCGGTACGGCCGGAACTGGACCTCTGTGGAGACAGACAGGCCGGGGAGCCGGCGGTCAGAGCAGGCAGGGCCAGGGGCAGCGCCTTCCCAGCCGGCCGGGGACACGGGCTCGGCCAGGGAGGAAGGCAACTTACCAGGACACAGCGGGCTCTACTTGTCACAAGGCAAATCAAACGCAATTATGGCAAACGGAGGCGCACGCAAGCTTTGGGGAAACAACTACGAACAGAAGTGACACGCGTTAGCGGCAGAGTCCAGAGGCTGCGAGAGGTGAACGGCCAGCCCCACCTGACCCCCAGGTCAGGTGAGGCCTCCCTCCTCACCCTTCCCCAGGGCCCAGCAGAGGGAGAGGCCCCGCCCAGGGGGCCGGGGTAAGCAGACACACAGACAGGATGCAGTTCTGTGAACAAGTGTACTTTATTGGTTCCGATACACAGCTGCCAGAAAAGCCGACGGCCGGGCTGGTGTGTTGGGCCTCGAGGCAGAGCGCCATCGCGTGGCTGGAGCTGGGCTCTGCCGGCCGGCCGAAGGGCCCGTCGGTCAGTGGGCGACTGCCGTCACACAGTTCTCTCGGCAGAGCCCGTGGCCCACGGCTGGCGAGTCCCTCCACAGAGGCGGCCAGTCCTCCCTGCCCGGCCACGGCTGCAGTCACGACGCCTCGGTCCACCCAGACTCTCCAGGCCTGGCCTGGACTGTTTGTGACACAGTGCCCACCGGGGCAGCTGAGGCTACGACTGCCCAGCGGCCACGGTCTTCTCGGGCTGAGACCCCGGCCTCCGCAGGCCCCCACCTATAGCCAGGCCCGGTCCAGGTGGCACAGTCTGACTGGCTGCCCGTGACTGCCCCTGACGCTCTGGGCCGGCCGCCTGGTGTGGGCCGGGCAGCATAGGGCCAGAGTACCCCCGGCAGCTCCAGCGACAGCAGGGCCTTCTTGCTATTCTCTGTGTCTAGACCAGGCTCTGCTCCCCAGAGTGTCCAAAGGCAGTGGCGGCGGCCAGGAGAGCCCGAGAGATCCAGTGGGCCTGGGCGCAGTCCAGCCTGCCCATCCCTGGGCATCCACTCCCAGCAGTTTGAGTCGGGCACCCTCAGCTCGTTCTGGAGCCCCGGCCCTGACCATCTTCTCGCTGGCCTCAGGAAGCCCGTGGCCACTGCAGTAACCGCCTGCAGGTAGGACCTGCCATGACGAGTGCTCTTCTTGCCCCTGGCTCCGCAGGGCAGGCCCTCAGCTCCCAGAGCCCCCCAAGACACGCCCACCTTCCAGTTAGACCCCGACTGTCCCAAGGTTGTGCAGCCCCACACGGTGAGGACACCACTTTGCTGGGGTAGCAGGGCCAGGGTGGGGAAGACAGGTGGGAAGGGCCTCTGTGAGAGCCATGCAGGTGCCCCCAGGGTCCTGCCCGGCCCCTCCCCAGCTCAGCCTCCGGCCCCTCTTCTCCCTTAGGTGTCCTCCCATTCACCAGGAGCTTGTCCAGAGCCTGGCCATCTGGTGCAGCCTGTGCCACTGCCCAGACCCCATGGCTCCCCCGGCTCCCGGCCGCCGGCCCCACCCCCAACCTGTGTGGCATGCAGCAGGCAGCAGGGCGCCTCACCTGTGTAGCCGATCTTCTCGAAGCTGAGCAGGCTAAAGATGCTGTTGTAGAGCTGCATCTCCTTGCGGTGGCTCTGGTCCATCTCGTCCAGAATCTCCATCAGCTCATTGCCCGTCTTGGTTGGGTGGGCACACGCGGCCTCGTGCACTGTCAGCTCGTGGAAAGGGCCGTGCCATGGGCAGCCGATACGCTTGTACTTGCACTGCGTCACCCTGGGGAGGAGGTGAGCCCTGCGGTCACACCCGCGCCCCATGGAAGGTGGCTGTGCCAGTGGGTCTCCAACCAGCCCTGCTCACACAGACCGCTCCCTGAAGGACATGTTCCCCACGTGCCGGCCCTCAGGAAGGGGTCAGAGTGCGTGACAGCCTGAGAAGGAGCAGGGCATGTGTGACCTGTGCGTGTGCACGCCCCCTGCACCCACTGCCATGGGGCCTCTCTCCACAACGGTCCTGGGCCCCGCGTGGCTTCACTCCAGGGGAGGCTCGGCAGCCTGGCCCCCTGGAGGGGGGGATTGGGGTGCTAGTGCCACCATCACGCTGTGCTCCCAGAGCCCCTGTGCTGGCCACACTTTCCTGGCCCAGGGACACCACGGACAGTCTCTAAGGAAGAAGCCACCACATAGCCACAAGGAACCCTGGAGGGCCAGGATAATGTTCAGACGCTTCCAGTTGCAGATCTAAGCCCCCGAGTCTGTGGAGCCTCCCGCCCGCCCCCTCCACGGCCTGGGACCTGAGCAGCTTTGCACTAACCCGGCCCTGTGAGGTCGCCACCGGGCGGCGTGTGTGGAGCCAAGCCCCCGGCAGGCAGGCCAGGCGGCCCAGGTGCTTACCTGTCCTGACACTCCTCTTTCTGGTGCCTCTCCAGGAGGGAGCGGGGGAACTGGCACAGGCAGAAGCCACACTCAGAGGGCAGCTCGCTCACGGCCTTCTCCACGGCCAGGTTGCGGCAGCAGAGGCTCTTACTGATCTCGCAACGACAGTTGGGGCACGTGGCTTGCTCCTCCTTCAGCCGGGCATCTGCTAGTAGGTGGATAAAACAGCCAGCGCACATCAAGTGCCCATTAGTACACTGCGGAGAAGGAAAGGGAGATGAAGCTCACGGACCTGCGGGGCCGCGCAGATGCGCGCCCGCCCCATTGCCGGCCCCTCCCAGGGGCTGCGGTGCAGGGGCTGCGGGCAGGCTGCTGCCCGACAAGCACAGGCTGCCACTCCCACTCCTGAGGGAGGGCCAGGCTGTTCTCCCGGAGCCCTGTGCACGCGGCCAGCAGGGTCCCCATGGAGAGGGCGGGTCTCAAGGTGGCCCTCATTGGCAGCAGAGGTTCGGGCTCTTCACTGTGGTGGCCCACCGGCGGGCACTGGGTGGGCCACACAGGGGCTTTTCCCATCCAGGGGCTGGAGACTGTCCCCAAAGTCCACCACAGGGCCTGATTCAGGGACGCCCACGGAACGCGGGCTCTCGGCCAGCTGCCCATGCCGAGGCAGCTGCACCCTCAGCCTGGCCCCGCCACTCTAGCCTCCTGGGCCCGCACAGGTGAGCAGGCAGCTGCCACCCGCCCAGTGGGGCTGGCTACCTGGAGGGGACCTTCCCAAGGACCGGTGGCACAGAGCCGTGGTTGGCGGGGAGGCCCACTTGGCCCAGGACAGGGCACGTGTGCCTGCAGGAGTGTTGCTGGCTTTGGGCCTAGGAGCCAGGCCCCTCCCTGGCTGAGCCTGTGGATCCAAGGAACAGACGATACTGTCGGCGACCTGCCCCTCCCTGCCGGGGGTCCTGGCGTGTGGACAGTGGGCTGCCGGCTCAGCTTCCTCGGCTCTCTCACTGGCTCCACACACCTCCTGAGCACCCACTTGGTGCCCTTGAGACACATGGCAGGCTATGGGCCTGGGCCTGCAGGGGCTCACGGGGTTGGGGGAGGAGAGGCCCACATGGGAACCAGAGGTGCAAGAGCAGACAAGCTGTGTCCTCCAGGGCAGACACGGCAGTCTTGGAGCCCGGGGAACAGTGGTGGGAGTGTGGGCCCCCCCCCCCCCCCGCCGAGGGCACCTATCTCCATTGGGAGACGCCCAGTGGCTGAGGGCAAGTGGGCAGGCAGTGCTTCCACAGGCTTCCTTGGGGCCCAGGACCCTTTTGCAACTGGGATCCAGTGTGGTAGAGGGACTCACATGGCCACTGCCAAGCCACGCCTGCACACGATGGGGTCCTCGGTAAACACCAGGGGTCCGTGCACCCTGAGCAGAGGGCTGCAAGAGGCTGAGTGAACTCTTAGCGCCTGCGGGTCGTGCTTGGGGTCCAGTGAGTGATGGGACCTATGTGCTGAGGACCAATGGTGGGGCCGGGGACAAAGGCCTCAGTCAGGATCCAGGTCCACACAAACACCCTAGATCAGCTGCACTCAAATCTTAATTTCTAAGTCAGGTCAAAAGTTAAGATGTGCGAGACGAGGAGGAGACTGGCAAGGGCCGGCCAGCACCTGCTCTGGACACACAGCCTGGCTGGGGGTTGTGGAGCGAGGCTGGTCCCGAGAGCAGCCAGGGAGGAAAAGCAGTCTGCCCCGTCCACTGCCCGGGGTCAGTGGAGAAGCCAGAGACGCGATGAGTGGAGGAGAGGGTGGGGGGACACGGCACCATAGGCTGCTGCCACCCTGTGGGAAGCCCAGACCAAGAGCCCAGGTCACATGTGTTCTCAAAGCCCCGCCAAGGGCCTGAGCCCAAGAGGGCCTCTGGCTTCACCGTGCCACAGCCCCAGAGAGAGGATCGCTATGGCTTCTAGAAGGCAGAGAGGAAGCAGTACATGGCAACCTGACCACTCAGTCACAGGAGGAAGAAGCTGCAGGGCCCCCAGAAGTGAGGCCAGACAAGGCAGCACTGGGCTTGCTGAAGTCCCAGCCGCTGCCTAGCACCCCAGTGAAGAAGCCAGGAAGGCCTGGGGACCCCACACTACTGTGTGGCCAGCTCTAGTTCTACATGCCCCAAGGCAGGGCCCGCGGCCTCAGCAGAGAGCAACAGCCACTGCTGGGCCCAACTCAGCTGGCTTCTCCTGTCTCTGGTGGCCCAGCCAGGGCGTGGGCCTGCAGGCGAGACTCGGGATGGAGTCCTGGGACGTCCTGAGGGACCCGAGGCTGCCAACTGTGTGACTGCTCACTCCCAGCGCTGCCCGGAAAGCCCACTGCTCTGGAGCAGAGGGTGTGACCTGCGCACCCCCCTGGCAGGCCTTTCCTCAGAACCTGGGGGCCGCAGGGGTTCCCAGCCTCCAGGGCCAGTCCCCACCCCACCCCCCCGGAGCCTCCAGACCCAACACAGGCTCAGGTACTAGGGCACCTGCCCTCTGTTGGGCTCTGGGGAGGTGGCGGCACTGCCCCTCTAGCCCTAACAGCTCAGCTCTGAATCGGAATGCGGCTAACCAGCAAGATGCTCCCAGTGCTGCCGGCCTGCCAAGGGACAAGCCAACATCCACACGTGGCTAGTCCCTTACCGGCTGCCCAAGGTACGCTCTCTCGGTGGACCCAGGTGGCCAGCCTTGGCCCCAGCACCTACCCAGCCCAGGCAGTCTGTCCACAGCAGGAGAGTCACCGTGCTCCAGAGCCCTCCCCACCAGCCAGGCTCCCCCTCAGCCTCCAGAGCAAGACCAAACTCTGCACGCAGGCCTGGCCCAGGGCCTCTGCGGTGGTCGGGCTGGACTGTACCTGCCCCATTTTGCCCATCCAGAAGCTGGGCCCCAGAGGGCTCAGCACAGCGTTGGCCATATGCCAAGCCTCTGACAGACAGCACAAGCCAGGGCAGTCAGAGTGCCCCATGCTACGTGCCAGGGCCAAGCCCCCGAGAGCTTGGGCAGTTCCAAGGAGTTCCTGCAGTGCCCAGGATGGGCTGCCTTCCCACCACCTGCCAGGAAGACCCTAGAGACAGGGAGGGCTACAGAGGGGGCTCCACGAGGCAGGACCTTGTAGGGCCTCCCAGGCCCTCCCAGGACAGATGCTGGCCAGATCCCACAGGTCACCAGCAGTATGCTCTGAGGCTGGTCACATCCTTCTCTGGGCCTCAATTTTCTCAGGCACAAAAGACAACAGGGGGCGGGGAGGTACTTCCCTGATAGCACAGTGGATAAGACTCCGCGCTCCCAACGCAGGGAGCCTGGGTCAGGGAACTAGATCCCACATGCATGCTGCAACTAAGAGTTCGCATGCCACAGCAAAGGAGACTGCGAGCTGCAACTAAGGAGCCCACGTGCTTCAACTAAGGAGCTGGCGAGCCACAACTAAGGAGCCCACAAACCACAACTGAGGACCCGCCTGCCACAACTAAGACCCAGCCCAACCAAATTAAAAAAAAAAAAAAAAAAGACAACAAGGGGACGGGACTTCCCTGGCGGTCCAGTGTTTAAGACTCCGCGCTTCTACTGCAGGGAGCACGGGTTCGAACCCTGGTCGGGGAACTAAGATTCTGCATGCCACATGGTGCAGCTGAAAAAAAAAAAAAAAAGGCAACAAGGACAGGACTGGCCTTATTACGCACTGAAGAGGTAGGATAGGACCACAAGTGCGACACACAGTGCCAGAGAACTAATGCCTGGCACCACACTCATCACCCAGCAGAACCCAGCTAGCACCTCATGCAGCCCCTGCCCGGAAGCCTCAGGAAGGACTCCAGGCACAAGCCTGTGATTTCAGCAAAACCCACTCTCCCTCTCTCACCCCTGGGTTCCCCAACCCCACCAAGTTGTGCCCAAGCCCCTCTGCAATGGCCCAAAAGTGGGCATTTGTCCCTGCCCCTAGGACATCGCCCAGCAGCCCCTCCCCCTGCCTGCCCAGTGCACCCAGGCCATGCAGGCTGGGGCCTCTATCTGAACCAGCTTCCCCCTGGGGGAGCTGAAGGAACTGTCCGGACTCTTGAGGAGGAGCCCTGGCCCCTGGGCCTTGGGACAAAAGCAGGTCTTAGAAAATGCCCCCCAGCTTCTGGGGGCCAAGTCCTCAATCAGTAGGCCTTTTAGGCCTGGAGTCCACAGTCCCCTCAAACCCTGGGGTGCCCCCCAACTCCGCTCTTTACCACTAAAGGAAGGCTCAGCACCCAGACTCATGTGAGCAGCCCCATCTCCAAAGCACAGCAGAGGGTACCCACCCACAAAGTGCCCCTCAGCCCAGCTGGAGGCCCCCCTTCACCAGGCCCAGCAGGGCCTCACGGCACCCCACACACCCCTGCACACTCGGCCTGAGGTTTCCTTGACCTCTTCCATCAAGGGGCCCGGAAGGGACCATGTAGGGTCTGAGACACACAAGTGTCTCAGGGGAAGCCAGGACTGCAACCTTCCACCAGGTTTTGGGTTTGAAGTTCTGGGCCAGCAGTTCCTGATGTCACAGCACCCCGAGACTCGGGGACTTGGGTGGGGGCCGTCAAACCTGCAGCCAGGCTCTTGCTCAGAGCCCAGGTGCTGCCTGGATCAAAAGGTAACTCAAGTGACAAACCACCACTACAAAAAGCACAATTTCGCATCTAGTCAGAGACCAGAAGCGTGCTCTTCCCTCTGCCCTTGTCTTGGATAGCTAAGCAAATATATTTTCAAAGCTTTTTTCTCTAAGCATGAGCCAGCCATAGTCTTGGAGCTGGGGAAGAGGGTCCCAGGCCATGTGGGCGGGCAGCCCCATTGGAGATTCCTTAAACATCACCTCGAACAGAGTCTGCAGCACCAGGCAGGTCGACAGATGCCAAGACGGCGCACTTGGAAGCTCCCCAAGGCGGGCACCCACATTGGCCAGGACGCAAGCAGAGATGGAGCCACCCCTGCTTCCTGGGCCTTTTACCCACATGGCTGCCAACGAGCTAACCAAGCCAAGTGGGCTGAGCCGAGTCCTGGCGGGGACAGGAAGCGCAGCAGGACACCCTCAATCCTCCCACAGGACAGATGGTGTCAAGTGCCCAGACAGGTGGGATGGGACAGGCGTCCTGTAGCAGGGAGAGGAAACGACCTCGGTGCAGGGGTGCTGCCTCAGTGGGGCCCACGAGGAGCAGGAGTGGGCAGGGGCAGGGACGGGAGAGGGCACCCAGGCAGCAGGGGCAGGAGAGCAATGGGCTGAAGGGGCAGGGCTCAGGTCTGAGGCAGGAGCAGTGGGCACAGGGGCCAGAGGCCAGCTGGTACCACATACTGTGATAAAGGCCCCCTGCCTACTCCTCTACCCCAGTGGGGGTCACAGGAGCCTTCCTGGCTGAGAACCAAGTTGGGGTGGGAGAACTCTGCAGCCCCTCCCTCCAGATGTTGGTCTGCGGCTCAGGGCCTCAGCTGACACGAGCGGGGTCAGGGCCAGGTCCACCCTGTGTGAAGGGCTGGAGGAGAGTCCCAGATGGGGTCAGGGATCAGGCTGCGGCTGCAACGATCCAGGCACCACCCACTGAGGCTGTGTTTCCCCCAAAGAAGGCAGAGGACCCAGCTCACATCGCCCTGGGGCCACAGGGCGCATTCAGAGCAGGTGCCAGCACAGCTGCCCGTTGCCGGCTCCAACACAGAGCTCCTATGTGCACGTCACTGCTGCATCCCCGGCCCGCCTACCCCTAGCTGGTTGCCCGCTGCCGTGCCCACCCAGGACCCTAGAAGGTGGCTGCACACCTTGTCAGGCCAGTCACCAAGAATACACCTAACACCCACACGGAGAACATCAAAGCCAGCACCTGCCATACCAGTTGTAGCCCTGACCTGACCTGACCTAACGCAGGTCACGGTGAGAACCATTTGCACGAGTGCCCTGGTCTGACACCAGAGCAAGAATCCCGACCCAGGTGGTGTGATGTACTGGACCCATGGCGGAGCCAACACTGTGGGGCTCACATCAGGGAGCAGGTGACCAAGCCTAACCGTGCAGCCCATGTCTGCTCTCACCACCACCCAGGCTTCCCCAGAGGCACGGAGGCAGGGGCTGGTAGCCGGAGAGCAAGCTCTCGAGTTACTGCGTACCCAGCCACATCCAGAGGCCCATGGAGATGCCCCTGTGGCCCCAGTGCCAGGCACAGTGTGCAGGGCTCAGCACGGTCACTGGCTCTTCTCCTCACCCCAGAACTGGGTACCATCTGAAACAGCCCTCAGATGCGGAGCACTGCCGGTGCTTGCCCCGAACCACGTATCCTGGTGGGGTCAGGCAAAACGTTGCCTATAGGAACAGAGAGCAAAACATACCACATGCCTGAGGCAGGTCCACCAGAGACAGCCCGTCAGCGTGACTCACCAAAGAAGGCCAGCAGAAGTGGAGGGGCTGAGCCCAGGCCCAGAAGCGTTGGCAAGCAGTGGGCCCCAACCAGGGGCACAGAGCTCTGCGTCCTCATTTCAAGGCAGCTCATGTGGAACCTGTGCTGTCCTTGACCAAATCATCCTGAGAGCAAACCCAGCTCTGATGCCAACCAGGCAATGGGGTGGGCCTCCGGGCCTATCTCGATCCCCCCCCCAATAAATGTCCCCATCCAGGGTGGCTGTGAGGGTAATGCGGACCACTGCACGCAGCAAGGAGCCACCAAGGAGCCTTCCCTCGGGCACCTCACACCCCAGGCTCCAGGGTGGGCACGGCTGTGCATCCATGCCCCATGGGCCCCCATCACACGGCAGGTCTTCCAGCAGCCAAAGCGAGTTCTGACCCGTGGCAGAGTTCCAGCCAACCCTTCTAGGGCCAAGGGCTCTCCCACTGATCACACGCTCTAAAGCTTTCTCCCAGCCTCTAGAGATGAGAGGGAATCAACTCCCTGCCAAGACCCGGGTGTCACTTGGGAAGAATGAAGGTGGGGCAGAGGGCTTGTACCAAAACCCACAGCTCAGCATTGGTGGGCTCTCCTCACTCAGCGGGCCCGTTCCCAGGGAAGCCACTGAGCAGAGCCCACTAGGCCACGGGGAAGGCCACAGGCCAGGTGGCCCAGAGCCTTCATTCCCCATCAGAGCTGCTCAGCCACCTGCCTCCTGCCAGCCCAGAGCTCAGCTACCAGCACGGTGCGGGCCGGTTTGAAGCAGCCAGGCTCAGAGGCCCGGTCACCAGGGGCTCCGGCTAGAGGCAGAAATGCAGCTCTCTGTGCTGAGTGGACCCAGAGCTGGCACCACATGGCCGGTTTTCATGCCAGGTCCATCTCCAGCCCACTCACACGAGGAGAGATGAGGAACCCCTTAATCCCCCTGGGACCCCCCCCCCCACCATTGGCTTGGCTTCCTAGACTCTCACTCAAGGCCCAAGGAAGGAAGAGTGCTTTTGGGAGGATCAAAAGGTCATGGGCAAGCCAAAAAGGCCAGAGAAAGGACAAGTCCTGAGGTGCACCCCCAAGGCTGAGGCGGTTATGAGAAGCGCTACCCCAATTTGCACTGGGCCAGGAGGCCTGTGGTACTCCTGAGCTAGGGCCTCTGGCCAGGAGCTTCCCAAAGCCCAGGAGGGTGGGTTGAAAGGCAGTGTCCTCTCCCCAAGGAACTCAACCCACTTCCCCACCAATGCCTCTTCTCCCTCCGTCACCCAGGCACACTGGGATCCTCCAAAGCAAACTCATGCCGGAGCGGGAAGGATTTGGAGATCCAGAGGTTGGGGAAATGGCAATTCAGAATAGCCTGCCCTGTTTACTACAAAAATGGCCCTCGCACCACAGCCCTCACTCTGAGCATAAGCAGGGGGACAAGGCCCCATCGGCCCTGTCCAGCTCCTGTAAATGCAAAGAAAGGTGACAGGGTACCTGTTTCATTCCTCAAAGGGGCTGGGGGTGTGGGGGTAATCAGAGATGGGGGTTGACGTGCAGAGAGACACACAACGGAGAAAACAGAACGCTGCGCAGTGACCCTGGGACCAGAGTGTGACCCTGCTGCTACGGGGTGCACGAGTGAGACCCCCTGGGCTAAGTACCCTCTCTGGCAGTCCTGAGCGGGTTAAGGACTCTGAGTCCGGCCACCAGGCTGGCTCTTCAGACAGAAGGGAAGAGGACAGACCTCCTGGAGCACCGGTAGCCTAGGAAGCCAGACCTGGTGTGGGTGAGGTGGGATATGGTAGGAGCCCAGCCTGAGGCACAGCACGTCCAGAAAGCACTGGATTGGGCGGGGGCGGGGGCTGGGACTGGAGAAAAGACCCAGGCTGTGGGGCTTGATGTGGGCAGTTCATCCGGACCAGGAATGAGGGGAAGGGGTGGGGGTGGGGCAAAGAGGTGAGCCCCTCCCTTCTCAACTTTTTTCCAAAAAAAAGTGACAAGGGAAGGGGATTCTTCCACACCAAAGGGTAAAGGGATACGGGACGAGCATGAGGACAGGTTTGGGGCGGGGGGTGTCTGCAAAAGAACTGAGAAGAAACACTTGAGGAAGAGCAAAGACCAGGGACCCCCGGAGCCCAGGGAGCTCAGGGCTGCACGGAACAGGCTCAGAAGTGGGGAGGAGCACGGGCATCTGTCGCCAGCTTTCTCTGGGGTCAGCTTGAGGGTGGGCTGAGGAGTGCTGAGAAAGGGGCAACAGGGGAACCTGGAAAGAAAAGGGGCGTCCAAGTGGGAGACAGGAGATTCCCATCAGGAAATAAGGGCAGTCACAACGAGAAAAAAAGGAGGTTCAGAGCAAGAAACAGGAAAGTTCCCAGAGGACGAGAATGAGGAGCTTCCGAACAGGCGCCAGAGTCCCACCTCTGGGCCCCAGGGCTCGGGCCTGGCCTCCGAGGAGACGCGGTGCCGGGGGGCCGGCCGCGGCGGGGCTGGAGCCGAGCCGGGTCTGGCCGGCGGCCCTACCTGGTACACGGAGGCCTTGGGCAGGTCCAGGCAGACCGTGCAGCACAGAACCGAGTAGAGCCGCTCCTCCAGCTTCCCGCTGCCCGCCGCCGCCGCCGCCGCCGCCGCCTCGGCCGTCTCGGCCGCCCGTAGCCGCTTCTTGGGCGGCGCATCGGAGTCGCCAGCCGCCTCCTGCAGCTGCCGGGCGCCGGCCAGGCCCGCCTCGTCTGGGATCCCGGGCCCCGCCGCCTCGCCCAGCGCCGCCGCCGGCCCCGCAGACGCTCCGGCCCCGGCCCCGACCCCGACCCCGGCCCCAGCCCCGACCCCGGCCGGCACGGCACCGGC